TGCAAAAATGCTAATGTTCAAAATCCGAAAGCGCTTATTCTCAGTTACGTTATGAAATTCACAAAATAGGGAAGTAATAATTACTTCGAGAACAAATGTAGAATAAGTATTACGATATATATTAACTCAATATCTTCTTTCGCTGAGGTGGTTTCGGAGACCTGCTTCACAGAACTGATAAATGATTTTGCTTTGCCTTATCCAGTGTGCCGATGTCAATATGCAAAACTGAACGAGGGGGATTAGCATACATTTATGCTTAATACCTCTTGATACTCTTTTGATCTTTTAACTGAAACAGGCCGGATAATTACTTGGCTTTACTTAACTAGTAACGAACTGATAGAACTTTACTCTGTGTCAGATACATACTTTAGAGGTGATTGGGCCAAGCCAGAATCACAATGTCTCATTCAGCCATTCATTTGTTCATTTTTTCCCTTTATTTATTCAAACAAAACTTTCACTTTCCTTCAGTTTCCCATTCGTTCATCTCCCTTCTCTATTTTTCATATAACTATTCATATCTGTTTGTTAAGTCAAGATGTCCCTAATGACCAATTGAACTAAGCGTAAGTATGTGCAAATAGTTGACTCTTGCTAGCTAAAAATACATTGAATCATCTCTTTGACATGCAGGCGCATTATTGTGTCATGAAATATTTTTGACCATGTTTTGACCTTAGGAAATCTGGAACAACTCACAGTAATAACATACGACTTCCGTTCCAAAATCTCCTTAAAACGAAACTAAAGGCCTTGTAGGTTGCTCTGAGCTCACTTGTAGATTTAGCAAACACGTTATCAGGAATTTAGAGACGTCAAAAGGGTGCGAGATCCTCTGGAAATTGAATGTAAATAGTATCGTAATTTAACCCTTTGTAAGTTAGTCTGTTATCAGATAAAGCACCAAGCACGATATCGCGTTCATAAATCCTTGATTAGGYACATTGTCACTATACTCGCCATTTTTTCCCTACGCAGACACCAAAACTYAATACGTCTGAAAGGACTATTCTCTGTCCAAGTAGAATGAATGTCAACGAAATCTTTTCGTCTCATTCAGAGATATTTTCTGAATGCATTCATGTAAACCAAAGATTATAGAAACTACTCACCGCACGCTGTTGTTTTATCGTCTTGGTTGATCGATTGAAATAATTTAGAATTTGATTGATAATGTATGTTGTTGAAACCGCACGTTCTGAGAGTCCACACCGCTCAGAAGAACACCGCTCTCAAAGTAGTGGGCGCTTGAAATAAATACGAGTCTGGTCATGTCCGGCAACTGCGGTCAGCGCACTTACGCACGATTTTATAGGCTATCAGTCAGTGGGTTGGCTTCCTTATTAGGGAATTGACGTCATCAACAGTGCTATCGGATTGCTAGTCGACCAATCACGATCCTAGTCTAAGGACGTGCAGAACGGCGGCAGTGTAAAAGATGGAATTGCTTGACCCTGTTTAACTTTCTCCGTTTATTAAAACTTTATGAATCCGATGTTAATCGACGGCAAAATGCCTTTACGTCTGATGCACTTAGCATAGCTGGTCACGACCTGGCGCACAAAAGAACACCAGCGAAGAAAGTGTAAGGTGGAAATTGGTGAGCGCTCGATACAGAAAGACAATCGGGATTAATTAAACTAGCTGACACCAACACTTGTTTCAGTACCTATATAAAYWATATACGAAAAGCCTTAGGCTGAAAATGTCAGTTACGATTTGCGGTTTTTCTGACGGGGATAAACCTTTTTGCATCCAGTTCAATTACCATGGGATCAAAGAGTTTTCAGCCTAAGACTTTTGTAAATTGTGTGAAAATCCGAATTTGGCCTGCGTATAGACGATAAAAACGATGAATGTAATTACTGTCCATTATGGGAACTATTCAGACCGGAGATTATCTAGAGCTTTCTGTTACTTCAAACCCGATGAATAGACATTGTAAAATAAGGAATGGCAAGCAGTCTCCATTTCATCTGTTGCATGTGGTGGGTTATATTATGTGACAAAATAAATTTATTTACTCGCCTTGCGTTCGCATGAAAAAATCCGGAACGTCGCCACTTTTCATGAGAATCACCTGTACATATTCAGTTTACTTTTACTCCTTGGTTTTTCTGTGGTGTGCACTCTCGGATATCCGGGGAGGGAATGGGAAATTAGATTATTTTCGTCCTTTTGCATCTGAGAGAATAGATGAATAAAAGGTCTGAGTCCATGTCATTTGTCTTTTGTCGCGTCGCATGATTAATCGTATGTCTATTTAGCTCCGTTCAAAATATAAGCATCGATTAGCCTTAGGCAACTGAGTTATATCATTGACTGACGTATAAATGTAATATATACCGTGTATTGTATTGATTAAGTTACTTTACAACGCTTAGTTACACCCGTTCCAATTACCGCTCACTTTTTATCTTTTTATTCATGCCAGGGCCCGTAACGAGGTATTTCTGGTTTTCAGTAATTCCGCATTCAGATCCAACCAAAAAAATATAATCGTGGCAATTTTGATTCCTCGATATGTGATCACGTTTCCCAGCGACAATGATCCCCATAAATCTGATCCCTGAGGCTCAAAAGATAACTGATCCCTCAAATAACGTACTGTGCTAGCCACACGGAGTGAAAGTAATGCCTGATTCATAGATGGATAAATATTATTTGTCAGGGATAAAGATCAAGCAGTAGTAATTACCAGGAATTAACCTGGGATTATTCAGTCACTTATCAATGGTATGATTTATTGACTGTGAAAATCCAGTTAACATTTTRAAAATTCCAGACGCAACCGACGAACGTAATATCACCATATAACCTTCCTGTAAATCTACCTCAAAAACCATAATCTTGTTGATGCGAGGAGGGATTGATTTTGCTTTTTCCGCTACTTTATGATTTGATTACACTTTTATAGTGTAAGGAATACCAAATGTTAAACGAAGTTAATGGATTTATAAACTCCAGATTCTATCTATAAAAGCGCGTTAGTTAGTAATGACGGACTTATACTTGAAACGTCCCTWACTATAGAGTGCACGTCACATAAGCATGAAACAATCAGTCTTAATATGTATTGCTAAATAAGATTTAGTTATCAACTAACTAAGAATTCAACAAAGCATAAACACAATGCCAATTATTTAAATTCCTTTGTAGCATTGTTCTCAATTCTTAGTTAGTTGATAACTAAATCTTATTTAGCACTACATAGTTAGAGTTATTTCATGCTTATGTGACGTGCACTCTAGTCATTAGAAAAGTATTTTGAATGATGAGTATGCATCAGGCCCGTTATAGGCTGCCTTACAATTGGAGGGCTCGGTTTTTTCATATGATCAGTGCGGACCTAAATTGAATGTTTCACTAAATTAGTTCAATGCACAGGTATAGTGTTTAAGAACTGGCTGCTAGAATGAGCAGTTCATAACAAAAAAATATTAAAAGAGAACAATAAAAAGGAGAAACATCGAACCTTTTTAAGCCTTGTTGGGGGAGTGTGTGTGTGTGTGTGTGTGTGGGGGGGGGGGGGGGGTTGATTGTTCGTTCCTTGACGATGACTGTTATAGTGCCTCCAGTATTAAGAACATTAAAGCAAGCCGGTCGCCATGTTGGTTGGGACGACTAAATCGGTTGATTTTTTTATGTGAAAAGGAGGGTCTTTATACAGCATACCAGAGTCGCCGTTTTGTACTTTTGAATAATCGGGATGTGTGCTTATCAACTGACACAACATTAATTCTTGACATACTTGTGGTTTAACTACGCCCTTTTCCGAGGGGTATGGATTAAATCAGAGGAACTACTCATTCCAAAATACCGCCGATTTAACTAATAGACAATAATTCCCCATTTAAGAATCAGCTTCAACTAATATATTCTGTAAGTGTCAAAAGTTAATMGTCTTAGGCGGGTTTGCACTCGAATAAACGCAGCATCAAGCATGTATGTGACTGATATACACCGATAGACATCAGTCTGGATATCGGTTTCAGACTTTTTTTTAGAAAAGAAGCCATTTAAAAAGTTAAACATCCTAATGACTTTACGCCCAAACAAAGAGATTGATTTAAGCGGATGTGCCGAGTAAAAAGCAGTTAAGTGGGATGTATTTAGTAACTCCAAAAACATTTCTTTACATCTAATATATCGCTAATATAAATCGCCTCCTACCTTAATCAATTCTTGACTTTCTAATAAATCATAGAAACCTGTTCCTCTAGTGCGTTTTCTGCGCGGTAGTATACTGTTTCTTAAGACTGACTATCCTCGCAGGAACCCAGGTGTAACCATGGATGCTTTTATTATCCATGGTGTATGACATTAGAAATGTTTGGCCCAAGGACCTGGCCATTTAGTACTTTTTTATTATATGCTTTCTTTTTCTCAAGACGGAAAAGATCGGATCGGAAATCTCGCTTCCACTTTCTGCCCTCATCCCCTCCCCCCTTCGGCTTGAACCATGAACCCTAGTAAGTACGATGAAAGCTACTTTTCAGACCGACACTGAGGGGGGGATGATGAGGGCAGAAAGCGAAAAAACTTCCTCTCAGACTTTCCGTCTTGAGAAAACTATCTAGATCATGATTAAATCAGCTACACTGAAACTAGAATTAAAATGAATATTTTATATGACTGCAATACTCGAAATTGTATTGTAATGCACCATGCAAAAATATGCAAAATGGGGTAGCGTTCTCGTCGGCTCGGGATATCTGTCAGATCTGTGTGAAATTTGATTGATCTTCGCGGGCTTCCTGCGGTAAAATTTCAAAATGGCGGCTGCAAGTACAATTTTCAGATACGGACGACATTTCTGTGAAAAACAGATATATAAAGGATTTAACTCTCTCAGGTAAAAGGCGRATATTGATTCCAAGGGTGTTAACTTTAATTTTTGTTTACTTTTTGTGATTAAAAGCTTCTTTCCGCAAAAAATGTCCAAATATACCATCAATCCACCGTTTTTCAAATTAATCAGTGTCAGGGAAACTCTTTCAGAAATCAAGGATTTTCTTGCCAAAGATATAAGAGTGTGCGGTACAAATCGTGGAAAACTGGCGAGTCTAATGGTGTTGACTTAGAAGAGCTTGTTATTACAACTGGAAGAACAAGGCTTATAGTCAGACCTTTATTATTCACAGTCGTGGTAAGATCCAACTATTCTTGACACTAAGTCTTATAGTATGTTTCAGGCAGTATAAGGGGCAGGGGTCTTTTATTTTTAATCTAACATTTAAACAAGGTAAACCCTGATCCACACCACAACTACAAATACCTGTTATAATTCAGTATTGCAATACCTATCGAAACCTATTGATTGCTCCCTTGATTCTGCACTTTGTTGTTAGGTTGACACTATTGGTGTCAGCAAAGACTATCTAGAGTTTTTTAAGTACCTTTCTGAAAAGTTTCAGTATCTCCTTAATTATTTCCTGTTAGAGTATCTTTTTAATTATATGCTGTTAACTCAGGCAGGCGTAGGGACATTTGCAGGCTGTGCGATTCTACAATATGAAAGAATGAGAGATAAGTATGTTACTGGGTCACAGAATCAAAAGTCATACAGATTTCCTAAATTATTTGGATTCAGAGATGAGGTAATGATGTCATGATTTACTAGCTTGCTTACTTCTTGTTGTTGTTGTTTTTATTTATTTTGTTGTTGTTAGTTAAGTGACAGCACAAACGATGATAAGATCATACATTATTCATTTTATTATTTTCTGCATTTTCCCATCAGCACGTTATTACTTTGTTATAATTATTATCAGCATTTTCTTTATATTTCTTATTTATGGGATGTTTTCTCTGAACTATTTTAGMTSARTARATGGTGGCAGGCATTGCCTGATGGYTCCAAGACAGCTGCAGGTCTCAGATTTATCTTTTTGTTTTATAATATTTGATATATTACATGCTCTTGGATTGGTTGAGAACCATGCATCATTTAGTGCTCACACAAAGATGAGACCATTTAATGTGTTCTGATTGGTCAGAACCAGTGACGCATGCACTGTTGTGTTTCAACCATTTCAATGAAATTACAGAAAGAGGGAAATATTCTAGAAAACAAAAAGGTTCCATTTTTCTGAATATTTATATGCTAATAGATATGCAGAAGATGTCATTTGTGTATTTTTTAGAGTACAAAATGCATTGAAAAATAGGATCTATTTGTTAAATAATGAAATTTATAAAAAAAATCCATGTCATGCCTAGCAAGTGCCTGTCCTCTGGATGAAAAGGAATGTTGCATCCATTTCTTGTATTGTTACAAGATATAGATGTGAAGAAGTCTATAATTTAAATATCATTCATGGGTCAAATTGATGAATGTAATWAATAATGCATTATATATTTTGGCATTAAGTTATTTAAATGAAAACTATAAAAATAAAGAAATATAGCCATTTAATTAATAGCAAGTATCTATTAACAATTTTGATAAACCATCATTTGTATGTATATATATTTGGTCTATATTTGTTAACATGTTTTCTCTTCCCTCTGCAGGAATAATATTTGTAAATACATTAGTTTTTTTGATGTGGAGGGTTCCAACAATTCAAATTCACATGTGGAGATGGTTTGTCTCTCATCCAATTTTAGGTATGATTATAAGTAAAGGATGATATTGAATACACAGTCTGCTCTCTTGATCAGGATCAAGAGAAATGTTCATTACAAAAATGAGCTCTCTAAGGGGTTCATTTTGGAGTAGTGAAGGGGTCACAAACCCCTCCCTCAGCTCTGATACATACTCCAGTTTCGAATTCTCTTTTGTGAAAGCTTATCTTCAATCAAGCATAAATTTTTTTGTCTTCTTTGTACACAGAGTGTGTGCATTACAACARATTCTCTGCTGATTAAAAGTATATGTTTACATGCTTTTGAGGTTAAGGCTGCACTAATAAGATCTCGAAACTGGAGTATTGACAACTAGAAAAACAGCTAAGTTATTTCATTTTCAATGTAAAAAATATTACTATCAGTAACATCATATTTGTTACTCTTCCCTGAACAAGTACCAAGTGTGGTTAGGTAATAGTATGGAGAGTGGAGAAGCTAGAGAAGTGTTTAGAGTAAAGAAAAATGTTTTTATCCCTACTGCAGCTTGCTTTATGTATCATAGCTGTCTCATCTTATTATCCATTTCAGCTCCTCCAATAACTCTTTTAACAAGCTGTTTTAGTCACATGGATTTTTGGCATTTAGCTATTAATATGTATGTTTTGTGGAGCTTTGCACCAACAATAGAAGGTATGTTACAAATTCTGTTTCCCCTTTTGTTCTTTGTATTGTCCTTCTATTTTTTTTTCAATTTCTTTGGTTTTAATCATGACATCACAATTTTTCTTTGCTCGCATTAAAATATGACATTTAAAAAGATTTTATATATTTTTTATTTTTTTTTGTGATGTTCTCAAATTGCATTTTTTTCATTATTTTCTTTATCCTTTTCCCTTTCTTTCATTCATCCTCTTTCTAATTTCCTTTTTTCCCTTATTATTCTTTCAATTGCCCCCTTTTTTGCTAGAATTTTAACATGTTTCTTTAGCTCAGTTCATGCATAATTATTTTTTCTTGATWTTCTGAATAGCTCTCTTGGGTAAAGAACAATTTTTAGCTTTTTACTTATCTGGAGGTAAGGTTTTTTGATAGTTTGTTGTCAATCCTATTACTAAAATTAAATCACTTTTGTCACTGCTTTCTAACTTTTCCTTTTCCTCTTATAAAAAGTTAAAATGATCTGTTAGTAGTCTTGCAGTGGGGCTTGCAGCAGGATATACACTGATGTACATATGTTGATCTAAGTTGATTTTTTTCAGGTATATTTGCCTCATTTGCCAGTCAAGCATTCCGCATTATGACTAAACTACCAATTCGTGCATCACTTGGAGCTGTAAGTACTATTCTAAAATGGATGAATGAATAAAAAATGAGAAAATGGATAAATGAATGAATGAATGAATGAAAAGATAGACAAGTAAARGAACAAAAGAAATATGAAAGAAATGAATGATTGCTTTAAAGCCACTGCTGAAGTGGCACTGCTGTTTTGTGTATGGCATTGATTATCTGTWTTTTTCTGTCCTAGTCAGGGGCATTGTTTGCTGTGCTTTCCTTAGTATGCATCACTCTTCCTGATACTCAACTAGCTCTAGTCTTCCTTCCTTGGTTCAGTTTTTCTGCTGGAAAGGTGAGTATTGCAGGAAAGAGACTCATAAAGATGGTATGTGGTAAGGKCGTTATACCCTAGTTTATCAGTGAATGCCATTGCATCCRTTGTAWTGATTAAAAGCTGKKTTTTTTTCTGGTGACTTTCCAATTTTTCTGAMGTTWTTTAACATRATTTAATTTTCTCAATTTAGGCTTTGATAGGTGTTGTTGCTTTGGACGTCGCTGGTTTGATATTCAGGTGGAGTATGTTTGATCAYGCTGCACATTTGGGTGGAGTTCTGTTTGGAGCGTAAGTACTTACAGTAGGTTATCATGCTGATAGTAGCCATTCAAACATAGATCCTTCGTAGCAACCAGGAACGCCTGGGCAACGGAAACCATRGAACACGGATAGACGCTCACTTCTGCTCAATCGTACATACCCAGAATATTMAGGSGATTATCATATCGAGGTTGTTTTGGCGACACCGGAAGTGCAAAATTGACATCTATTTATGATAATAGCTGTACATGTTTAATTTAACTGGAAACGCGACATTTGTTGGTACCAAAAAAACTGAAAGGTTTATATTTGGTGAGCTTTGTCAATTTTCAAKTYTTGCTAAGATGTTCYAGTACATGKTCTATATATCTATTACGCTTGAGAATCAATCAGTAGTGACTCATGGYTCAATATAAATTTCCATTCTTTGTRCTCTTCATTTAACTCGCAGCAGGTTTGACGTTTAGTTTTGTTTTATGTTAAAACTCATTGAAGTGTTTCCTACTGCGTTACGTTGCGTGTCCATTCACGTTTTTAAGTCATTTTTTTTCAATGATATACATATACGTACCGGAGTAGAAGTGTCCGCAAAGCAAAGGCGTCAGGTTGCCCGCGTGTTTTTTAATGAAATTTATGAACGATATTCGATTTCTAGGCGTATATTATCTGGTGTTTTGCTTTTCCGTAGGTTTTATCTAAAGTACGGCCATCATTACTTGTGGGACAAGAGAGGTTGGCTGATGCAACAATGGCACCGTTTACGACGAAGCGTTAAGAAATCACCGCCGTAAAGACATACGCAAACGCCCTGTCGGCACTGTTCGTAAGGAACCAAAACGACTTAAGGAATAAGTGAGTCTTGGAGCTACGTCTCGMAGAAACAATTTATTCAATCATCATCGGCGTTCTGGTCCGGATTTATTGTATTCTACGTATTTACGTAGTGTCGGATTTTAGACATGTTACGTAATATCATTGTAAACTGTCTCAGTAGAAAAAATACTTTCACGGAAGCGAAGGATTTACACGCTGTATTAATGGTTGATTTAAAATAGAAAACTGATAAATAGAATGAGAACATTTTTCACTCGATGGAAAATGAAAATACGCGCCATCTAAGCTAACATGTTTCGTTCAGTTTGTCAAAAAACGCGTCAATGACAGATAYACATTCTGTGCGCTTTTGTGAGTAAGTTAGGTACAACAACAGGCCTTCTTTTAGAAACTCTTACACAAATAAATAGAAAATTTTATTTTTACGAAGTCGATAATGAACTCACAACAAAATTTACACGCTTTGCTGCGCGAAAAGCGACGCTTTTGACAGATTAACAGTTACTGTTGAGCGTCATGCCTAGTCACGCAGAGTCTTCTCGATCTAGAAAATATAAAAGCTCACATTCCGATAAAATGAATTTGTTTAGAAGTTATGTTCATAGATAGTGACATTCCAAAAATGCGATCACGGTATTTCTCAGCGCGACGTTAAAACTGTGATATTTATAAGCGCGATATTGCGCCTGAATTACTATGTAGACCGCAACCAATTTATGTCGTTTTAAGAATTCCGTTAATTTACTTTTTGTGTACATAAAGAATCAGTACAAACAGTGAGAAAATGCGATAGCTCAATAAGCCCCGTTTAAAATATTTGAACAATTTAGCAAAATCGTAAATGTTTGCGTATATTTTGTAAACTATTTTCTTGCTAAAAACGAAATTTCATTATCAAAAGTGCTGCCGCTGTTCTGTCAAATATGTTATYAATTTTTCAGAACGGATTATCATATTAATATCGTGGATATTTGCGAATTCTTAAGGTTTCTGCGAAGAAAATCAGCCTCGACGCGCGTCGTTTACGACGCGGAAAAAAAAATTGAAACTGAAAATCCTTGATTTAGAATAACTTAAATTACCACTCTGTTTATTATATAATTCTTCTATGTAATTTTTCTATGTACAATGTTAACGCTATAGTACATTTATTATGTATAATTTAATAWGTGCTTCTTGTTGATTTATGGAGTAGTTTGTGTTTTCCATAGTGATAAGGATTTAGTGCATCCCGTTGTGATTATAGGAGCTTTGCTCTGACACGAACTGCCAGTGAACGAATTAGTTGTGCTTTGGCATAAAACATCTTCGATTTGGTTTCTTACACAATCATTTCAAACTCCTTCTTGGCTCTGTTCTCTWATCTGATGCTATCAAATATCCATAATTTTTTCCTCGTTGAAATTTCGTTTTTTTTCAAATCCAAAAATAAATACATCTAAGATTTTCAACTAAATTATAGTAGATTATAAAATTATATTCCCTTGAATCTTCATGGTTTCTTTGGTGTATGTTGTAGTGGTTGCTCTTTTACCGTAGTCTTGATTTCGACTTTTATTTCCTTGTGTTGATTATCGGGTAATTTTTCGCTGACTGCAGTTGATTGTCCTTGGTATTTCTCCTCTTCCGAAACTGGTTCCCATTTCCATCGACCTTCGAGTGGTTTTCCAGAGTTAATATCAAAATTATACTCCTCTTTCATTCTTTGGCTGTCCTCCTGGGCCATTTTCTCATATTCAGTGTTCAAGTCATTGTTTATTTGAGCGTGATCTACTGGAAAAAGACGTCTCTTCGCTCTACTTTTGTTGGGATCCATGKCCTTTATAGMATTGATCGATGGGATTACARCTTTAAGACGTAAATACTTCAAACACGAAAATAAAATCCTGAAAAATCAACATTTCACATTAAAACCAGAGCCCAACAGCTGATTGTACATGTTAACATCACGGTCCTGGAAGTGATATTGCCTTTAAAAACATGCCTAGACTTGCAGATTTCAGGAAAAATCGGTCAAGCGTCGAGACATTTTTTTTATAATCACAACATCCCAGAATGCCAAACATAATACAATCACATCGCCTTGACTCTTATCCTAGTAATATGTTTATTTAAGATATTATATAATTTCTCGTCGTAATCACAATTAATAGTCATATTTCTCGCAAAAATCATTGATATTTTGTTAGTGCTGAGTTGACATCGAAGACGTTGCGTGACTTAAGATATATCTGTAAACTAAAATACAAATGTTACATCGTTTTTCACTTTCCTGTATTCAAAAATGTATGCTACAATGTGAAAATCAAAGCATTAGCTTTAAAWTTGATTGTAGGAGAATTTCTGCAAGCTACAAATATAATTCCCTTCGACCCTTCAACAATTTTACCAGGCCGGCGTAACGTCATTTTCCCGCGTTGTAAAAAAACATTTCCCGCTTAAAAGTGACTGTCGTTTCTCCGAACGTTTCGCTTTCAAAGACTGCGAAAGCAAACAAAATCACTTTTTCTTACCTTTTCGGRTCTTTTCTCCTCGATTGAAGTGCAAGTTTTGTCTTCGGTATCAASCACCTGTATTTATGGTTGTTTACGGTAGAAGTCTCCTGATATCGATCCGATATTCATCGAGATTTCTCGTCAGTCCGTGTGTTTAAATTTGTAGTGTATTTGTTAAATATTTCTGCTGRTTTATRCACTCCGAAGGCGAGGCAATGCGTTCTGCGTTACAATTAACAGTTGGGCTCAAGCTTGCCCGAATATTATCCACAAAAACGTAAAATTAATAGACATGACGTCATTACACAGGAAACCCGCGTATTCCCAAAAKAGCTTTTCTGCAAATGTCATGATTATTCTTTCTAACCGCGTTTGTTTTGTTTTTGTTTTGGTGTTTCTTATTTGGGATGTCTTTAACACAATTTTACTGGTGAACATTGTTATTAATGAGTGCTGTGTTCTGAGAAGATTCATTGTGCAAGTATTATGTCATTTCAAGTCTGGAAAAGTGGGATGTTTTGAGTGGGTGAAGTCTCCCCTATCGACACCTTCTCTGCATAATTAAGGCCCCCTATTTGCACAAACTGCAAGACTCGATATATTGCTCACATATACCAGATTARCTTCTTCGGGAAATTCAGCAATTTAGGTGGAGTAATTGTACCGTCTTAGTACGGCATATTAATTATGTTGAAATAACACAAGTATGTCTCGTCAAAAGGTCTATCGTAACAGTAATTTGAAATTCGAGACCGACTTCGAGCTAATCAGATCAAAGAAAGGGTGTGGCTGGTACATAGTCTAATACACTAAGTAAGGAAGACAAATAGGAGGATGTTTGTAAAGGGAAAACCCGCGCAAGCTGAAGCTGCAGAGTCTCCCGGTAAAAATGCATCCGCATTTGGATTTCCTTTTAGCCACGACAAAACACTAAATATATCTGMATTTTCGTAGAAAAATTAAGTATTAAGTTCGTTTTAATTGATATATACCATTATATACATTTTACAACTTGAATATTTTATAAAATCATTCCTTCTATTATAATCTCCCATCTAGTCTCTTTTTGAATTTAGCAAGTTCTTCTAAGATATGCTTATCGTCCTCAAGGATAGACGAATCAATTGAGGYCGAAGWGTCTCGAGAAATCGCAGAATTCAATATGTCTTGGGTCTGTGTGGCGTTAGCGCGAAGTGATTTCATGCGGACTTCGTTATATTTGGCTTGAACCTGCAATGAAAATTCACAGTAACGGTTTTACTAACGAGTCTCCTTTATAAAAGAAACATGAAACCCGGAGATGAAAGCAAAACTTAAGCCTTAACAACGGATATTGTTAAAACAATAAAGAAATATAAAAGCTTCAGCTTTGTGAATAGACAAGGCGGAGCAGACGTTGACGCATCAGCTACAAGAACGCATTGTTTAACAAAAAATGCTTGCATGCATTGGCTTGGTAGGTTGGTCCACAATTACCCTCCCCTCCCATATCTCAARAGGCAATTGCACCACTCACCTCATCCAGAAGTTTCTTTGCTTCAGGAAATTGCTTTCGTAAATTTTTATCTTTGTGAAAGTTTTGAAGGACATTTTCTAGTAAAGAAATCAAGACGACAAATCAATGATATAGATAACGACATAAGCATTTATGTTTATTAARTCTTTACCTAAGTTGGACTCGATAATCTTGTTTTCAACTCTCATTTTATCCAATAATTCTCCCATTGCTTCTACTTTATTTTGTCGAGACGTTTTTTCCTTGGATTTCTCCTGATAAATCAAAGAATTACATTAACTGAACACAGTAAGAGAGGGAGATATTGAAGAAAATAAATKAAAGAAATATAACAGGAAGCCACAAGAAACAAAATTCAAGGAACTTAAAAAGGAAGGAAGGAAGGACGAGAAAACTCAAAGAACGAAAGACAGGAAGAAATAAAGGAAAAATAGACTGACAAGACTAAATTTAGCAGCCAGTTACCTTGGTCTTAGGTGTTTCTTTGTAAACTCCCTTGGTATCAGTGAAGACAAGAGGATGCTGCAGGATGTATTGCAATGATCGCACACTACCCAGAATGTCTTTCGGTATAACGATATCTGGATCATTCTCATCGACATCAAGAAGATCTTCATAACCYTTGTACTTGGTTTCCACACTAAATGGACGATCAGGATGCTGGTGTTTGGATTTCCTAGAATAGCGCTTGGACTTTGGGACGCGGTCTGTGGTTTCGCCCTCTGCAGGCTCATCGACCTTTCGAAAGATTTTGCAATATTAGAGCTTTTGAAAGCGATTTTAATGCAGAAAGGTTTGAATGTTCACATAAGAATTGCAAGCAAATCAAATGTACACAATCGATTAGTTTTCTTGCACTTGCGTTTGCATCATGTCTGCGTTTTGAAGGTGTGGTGCATTTGCACTTGCGGTCCTCGTGCGAGCCAGCATCAAGGGTCTAGTATGGTCAGAATATCCTGTAATTCCTGGTTAGGTTACTTTATTAATGCGCGCTCACTTTGAGAAAGCGGAAATACATTTTAATAATGCACAAGTTCAGTACCTGAGTCAAAAAGAAGCCTTCATCGGTATTAGCAGCCTGTTGATGCTGTCTAGGGGTAGTCGTGTCAACATCTGAGGTCATTTCTGCAGTCGTTTTAACTCTTTCTCCTTCTTCAGCTTCTYCCGCTTCTGAGCGTGGCTCCTGAGAGGGTTGTGGTACCGGTACACTACGCGACCTTTTATTCTTTGAATAACCATGTTTCTTTGTCGGAGCTGTGTTCAACTGCCTCGGGGATACTACGTTATCAGTRGTCGTTCTAAATTCACCGGACGGTGCAGATATCGGAGGGAGTGGACGAGAGTGAGGTCCAACGTATGARATGGGCAGTGGTTTGGAGGGGCTCTCAAGCATGAGGATATCGCGCTTACGTGGTACTGGAGGTAAAGCGTCGTTGATCTGAAAAAAAGATATATAAAATAAGATATTATCGTYACTAGCAGCATTTTATGGGAATCGTTTTCTCAAATATTACTGTACCATTATTATTATTATCACCATCATCACCTAAATTTATCATTAAGATATTCATCATCATTCTATACAACATTATAATCATCAAATAGTAATAAAAACAGCTGTTATCAGGGTAGTAACGAGGTATATATTTCTCTCTATGATACCCGATTCCATGTCTGAAAGTCGAGCAATGTCAAACAACAATTTTGTCAACAATTTTGATCCCTCATCTTGAGACTCCTTGAACAACTTTGCAATCCTGGATTACTAAAGTCGCTAAGACGATTTCAAAGCAAAACCTCTGAGCCAATAAAATGATGAAAATGTAATCCCTGAGCCTCAAAATAATGCTGATCCTTGATCCCTGATCCAACACCCTGTGTTATAATCACTGTTCTGAAACACTAAGATCATCCAGAGTATGTCTTTCTACACTCTAAACACCACATACCTTTCTATAACCAGCAAACGTTGAAAGATTTACACGAGGTTTAGGTCGTTTGCTTGGTTTCTGTCTAAATATTCTCATCCCTTTGACTTTTCCCAGCTGAAAGGACAGRATAGGTGGATCACCCTTGAAAGCTGTAGTCARAGGATTTCCCCAGATGACCAACTCTTTCAGCTTTGGCCATCCCATTACAGCTAACAGACCTTCTTCCTCATAAATCATGTTGTTGGAGAGATTAAGATGGAGTAGAGAAGGAAATGGTTTGGGTGGCTTAAACTTGTCATCTGGAAAACAAAAATATASGAAACAGGTTTATTGAATTGATGATTATTATATCAAAGTCTCCKTCACAGTTGTCATCTTGAAAGGTAACAATGTCTTTACATAGAAACAAGAAGACAGTTAAGTGTGCAGTGAAAGCGTTTCATACMTACCTACAAATAAATTCACTGTTATCTATCATTGMAAGCCCAATGTTTGTCTCGCCTCAATGCAAAGGCATGGTTATACCTTTCAAGATGACACACGAAACTATGAA